CCAGGAGTGACTGAAATTATAGCTAGAATTAAAGAGATAAGACCTAACAGCCAGAGTTCGGGGGATCCACTAAAACTTTCCATAAGATTTGGGACCTATGGGATGACAACGCACTAAGTGAGGACTGAGGCCGCCGCCAATTCCAGCGCGTGGCAGGCTCGACGGGCAACCCTCGCCACCGTCCCCTGCCGCTCTAGTACACTGCCCTATCAGAGAAAACCTCGGTTCCACATACTCCCCCTCGTCCCCCCCCAATCATCTCTATCCCCCCCCCCGTTCTTTCTTCTTTCTTTCCTCTCTTCTTGGACACACCCCCACATCTAAGGGGTCGATATATAAAGCGAGATATACAACTACACAGTGGTTCACCAATGACATAGTTTAATTAAAATATGCAATGTGTATACGCAAATATACCTGTAACCAGGGGCGGACTGACCGGTCGGGCACTTCGGACACGGTCCGAGGGCCCGGCCGGGAGGGGGGCCCGCCGCCAGGGGGCCCGGCGGCAGGGCTGGATTGGGGGGGACTGCAGGTGCCACCGGGTGGCCGGTCCGGTGGCACACTGTGAGGGGGCCGGCCGATTTCATGCTGCAGCCGCCAGACCGGGTGACAGCCTCGCCGGTCCGGCGGCATTCCGCTCACTAACACTGGAGGAGGAGCATGTGTCTGTCAGGCTCCCTGCGGTTCCCACAATTCCCAGCACAGGATGTGGGAACCGCAAAGGAGCATGACAGACACATGCTCCTCCTCCTTCTTCTGTGTTAGTGAGCGGAATGCCGCCGGACCGGCGAGGCTGCCACCCGGTCCGGCGGCCCGGTCCGGCGGCTGCAGCATGAAACGGCCGGCCCCCTCTGACTAGTAAGAGGGGGGAGAGATGGGGAGGGGGGAGAAAGAGAGGGGAGAGATGGGGAGGGGGGAGAAAGAGAGGGGAGAGATGGGGAGGGGGGAGAAAGAGAGGGGACATAGAGATGGGAAAGGGGGAGAAAGGGGGGGCAATAAAGAGATGGGGAGAAAGAGAGGGAAGAATGAGACACAGGGGGAGACAGAGACAGAGAGAGAGGAGAAGAAATGAGACAGGGAATAGAGATGGGGAGGGGGAGAAAGAGACAGAGAGGGAAGAATGAGACACGGGGAATAGAGATGATGGGGGAGACAGAGAGGGAAGAATGAGACACGGGGAGAAAGAGGGGGAATAGAGAGATGGGGAGGGGAGAAAGAGACAGAGAGGGAAGAATGAGACACGGGGAGAAAGAGGGGGAATAGAGAGTTGGGGGAGGGGGGAGAAAGAGAGGGAAGAATGCCCCCCCTCCCCTGTCCGCAGGCACCGTGCGGGCAGGGGAGGAAGAGAGGACCTGGGAGCTCACCCTGCAGCTCCTCTGGGTCCTTCTTGCGCGAGCACAGAGCGTTGCCGCGGTTACCATGGCAACGTTACTGCTCTTGCGAGAGTCAACTCTAGCCCTGGAGCTACGGGCTAGAGTTCACTCTCAACACTGTAACCCCCATGGATTCCTGGTGGTCGCAGTGGTGAGAGTGAACTCTAGCCCCATAAACACACTGCCCCCACACACACACCATACACATTCACACACTGCCCCCATACACACCATACACATTTACACACATTGCCTCACACACACACATACACTGCCCACCCATATACACACAGACCCCCATACACAGCCCCCCATACTAACATTGCCACACACATACACTGCCCACACACCCTACACATTCACACACTACACCCCCACACACACACTGAACCTTTCACACACATTGCACCACTGCTCCTATTCCCTACTACAGCCTCATATCCCAGCAGACCCCAGGTAAGTTGTCAAACTGTTCTTAAACGGTTTGACTACTTACTCTGGAGCAGTAGTGGTTATTGTGCATGGATTATTTCTTTAAATAATCTACAAGTGCCCCAGTAGCCAGCCAGCCAACCCACAGGCTGGCCAGTAGCCAGCCAGTTAGCCAGCCCACAGGCCTACAGCAAGCCACAGGCTTACAGCCAGCAAGCCACAGCCTACAGCCAGCAAGCCACAGCCTGCCAGCCGCAGCCTGCCAGCCGCAGTCAGCAAGCCCACAGCCTGCCGGCAGTAGCCAGCAAGCCCACAGCCTGCCAGCCGCAGCCAGCAAGCCCACAGACTGCCAGCCAGCAACAGTAATTAAGGTAAGAGGAGCCAACTTGGCTTAGGTATCAGCGAGCTATGTTGTGTTGCTATATTGTGAATAGGAAGAGAGCTGGAGAGACCACCCTCCAGGCCCCATTAGACTCTAGCCTCTGCTAGAAATCCCCTCCATGGCCCATTAGCCCTCAATTGTAGTTTCTACTGGGGCCTGGAGGCGACTGTTTCCAGCAGGGGATATCTAATGGACGCTGAGATGGCCTCTGTTAGAAAGACCCCCTTCCAAGCCTTTTAGACTCCATTGTAGTCTCTAATGGGGCTTGGAGGGGATTCTTTCTAACACACTCTCTAAAGGACACTGAGATAGCCTCCGCTAGAAAGACCCCCCTCCATGGCCCATTATCCCTCAATTGTAGTCTCTACTGGGGCCTCGAAGGGCTTATTGCCCTTTTGTTCCTTGTGTCTAAAGATTGTGTAGGGTGTGGCTGGAGGCGGTGCATGGAGGCGGGACAAGGGTGGCGCTTGCTGCAGAGTATGGGTGGGGCCTGTAAGGGGGCCCTTGATTTATTTTGCCCGAAGGCCCTGAGGGTTCTCAGTCCGCCCCTGCCTGTAACTCGTTGCATATGAAGGTATCGCAGTAAGGTGGAACCTCTAAGCTCTGTTTACAAACATGTCTGGTTATAATGCAAATCTTTAACAAAAATTTTAAAACCCTTGGCGGATGGCAACAACTTTACCCATGTGGGTTAAACATAATTTATATAACATCTATCTATTGTAATTATTCCACATCGATATTATATGTCATTTACTATGTGAAACTGTGATCCTTATACAGCAAATGTCATACTGCTGTTACCCTGCCAAGATGAAGAAAAAAAAAAGAATTAAAAAAAAAAATCGCCTAAGAAAACAAATATGGGGAATCAGTTCAACCATATAGCCATATTGTGTTAAGCCCACCACTACTTCCCAGTACCCCGATATTGGTGGGTCCTACCAACGTTGGAGACAAATTAAATTGAAAAACAGGGTGCAGGAGAATACTGAGAACGGCCAGCAACTCAAATTAACACTAGGAGCTAACAATCAAAATTTGATCCCGTACCCCCATAGTTTCATTTTAAAGGAATGCAGTCTAGGGGTTCCGTTTTTGTTTTGTAAAGAAAAACTCTGAAATTGTCTATTAAAGTGGGACATGATTACTGCAACAACCTAGGATTCAAATATAACTAAAGAGAATGATGGATGCAAGTGCATGTCAAACACTGTATATTATTTAATTCCACTTCTGCTGAGAAAACCTTTGTAAATAGTCTGTTGCAATTATTTCAAATGATATTATATAGTATATTATATCCAAACTCTTAGTCTTCCTTATTATCAGTTTCACATTAGTGTTTTAGTCCCAGTTGCAACTAGCAAGTCGATTTACTAAGTGCTTGGGGGTGGGGGGGAGGGGGGAAATAGTGTATCTTAAAAAAAATTAAAGTTTAGAAAAAATAAATGAAATATTTACTGTCCGGGCTCTGAGCTGGCTTGAGTAATTCAGCATTGTGGATGTACTATTGCTGCTATTTATTTTTACAAATTGTTGCAATTTTAGGCCAATCTCAGGAATACCTGCTTCATTTATTTGAGTTGCATGTGATTGTTACTTTGTAGCAAGAGCTCCTTTTTATTATTTCCAAATGCTGTTTATTTTGACAATCTTTATATAAACTTCAGTCATACATTTGAATTAGACAGTTACAATTAAGAAATGGGTGTGACGGTAGTTGTGACTTCCATCATATGTTTCAAGGTAACAAAGTCTTGGCAAGGGATTCAAATTCAATTCCAGTCAACAAGTATATCACAAGCTGGTAGAGATTCTGTACAAAATGAGTAAAAGTAAAGAGGGGAATGAGGGAAGAAAGAGTAAAAAAAAAAAGAGGGTGTTCGACAGATTTATAAATAGGCACTCACTCCACCACAGAAATCCAGTTGGACGTCTAGTAGACCATTACTATGAGATCGTTGTACAGTTTGCATTCTGATATGCTTCAGAGATGTTCTCTCTGTAATGGCACAAGATGGGCTAAAAACCAGCTTGAGTTCTGAGCGGGGACCCACCGAAGGGCAGGCTATTTTAGTTGCTGTCCGTTCTTAGAATACTCTTGCGACCTGTTTTTTGCTGACCATTATGAGATCGTTGTACAGTTTGCAGTAAGCTGTCCCTACAGAGCCTCCAGAGTAGTCAATCCACACCCTTACTGACCATATACAGAATTGTAGGATACTATGTTAGCTAATGTCAAAATATCTAAAACTCCACAAATAAGTTGTAAATCTCCTCTATCTTTGCTAGCCACTGTTATCTTCAGAGCATCAGTATCAGAGACTTAGCCGCATTCAAGAGGTGTTCGGTCAGTGAATTTTAAAAATATTTTAGAAAAAGGAGTCTTCTTGTGGTGTAATAGCATTGGAAGTGGTAGGAATGGAAGATCGGTTTAAATTGTGTCTGCATTCTTGGTATGAATCAGACTCCAGAAAGGGGAAATGACTGGGCAGGAACAAATTTTATTCCTTTATGGGATATTTTAAGATTATACCCTTTTTGGGGCTGTGCCTAATGTAAATGACTGGAGGAAATGTAATGTTATCAAAGGCAATAACTGGTCTTCAGGTGAGTGAATGGGATACAACAGAAGTCAGAGTTAGAACCAAAATCTCACATTGTATATTTGTTTATTGAGGATTCCAAGGATATCGCTAATTCATTATTCTTAATGACCCCAAAATCATTTCATCACAGTGTGGTATTTTTCATGGTTTGGTCAGAATATCCAACGACAGCTTGTGTGCATGTGGCTGAAGTAAGAAGGCAGCTACAGGATGTGGTTAATGTTCTCTGTGTAGCCGAAACACACATTTAACGAGAAACAGAGAATTTGCAATAGTGATGCAGCAATAAACAACTAGTTTGGACTTCTGCCTGGGGCCGAGACGAAAATGATGAATGGGCTCCATAAACTGGTGTCCCACCGAGATTGCTTCAACTGATTCTCGATCCCGATCCACTGACATAAATAAATGAAAAATTAAAGGTTATAATAATAGAAATATATATTCAAATGCTATTTGGGTAATTTGAGATTGTAAGCCAATCCATCTATATATTAAGACTTTTGGGATATCCTCCTGTCCTCAAGTCTAAAGCATTCTAGTTACATAGTTACATAGCTGAAAAGAGACATGAATCCTTTAAGTCCAGCCTTTCTAAAAACAATAAATAAATAATTCACCACAAAGTAAGCATTACAGTTACAAAGAAAGACTGTAATAGGCATCTTAACATTAAAGGGTTACTCTGTATGTTCAGCGTTTTTGCTTGAAACGCTTCACATTCAGTGATATTTGTGCTGGAGGCTAGTTGCAGCTTCGGCGCACCTGACTTATGCAGCTCGGAACTCTGCTTGCTGGCAACAGGCATAATAAGCTTTTTCCTTGTGGGCGGTGAGCTTGCAAGTGTTCCTTCACTCTGTCTATAACGCTGGAGATCAGGTGTGACAGAGCCTACATATTTTTATGAATTACTGGTGCAGGACTCCATTATGCTATTTCACAAAAGACTATATCACTTCCCTGGCTCTCTCCTATGCCCCTCCCATGTATTTACACCATGAACTCTCCATCCTAATACAGTAGCAGTTCCCTTACGAGCCCGAACAACCGTGATGTTCCCATCGGACCTCTGCCCTGATCACCTGAAACCCTAACTTGGCATCAATAATTGCGACCGCCCAATTAACTTGATCATCAATTTTGACTCACTTCACATACACAAGAGAACGCTATTTGGAGGGGAGGCCAACAAACGCTACCTGAGATCGAGGGGGAGCACCCTGTTTAAGAACAAAAGGACCCCATTCAAAGACTGGCACTAGGCTGCAACCAGTCTGGAACCCTACGCTGGATCAAGACGTGACCAATGCCCAGTCAAAATTTTTACCGGGTGGCGTTTTCACTATACACCATAGATCAGGGTGCTATTTTCCCAAATTCGGCACTCAAGTATGCACTATCTGGGTATATAATATGTGGGAGGGGGTTTTCGTAGTTAAACAATGTTTTGGGCCTGTCTATGGGAGTTAATTAAATAAAGCAGTGTATACTGCAATCCTCTCCCAGACACAGAGACGCCTGGGTGGGATCACTTATAACTTTCCTGGAGATCCCTATACCCGCTGGGGTTCTCTGTATATAAACTCGCATTGTTTCCAATAAAGATTGCAGTTCTCTCCTGCACTATGTACCTTCTGGTGTTTGGGAAATTGGGCTACAAACGATAAAAAACAGCTCTACTTAAACCTTGAGTGAAAAATTGAGTGGAGATATCCAGTCCAGATGGGTGGGGGCCCTAAATAAGAATGAGGGGGGACCTACTGTCCTCCCCCTGGCCCCCACCCCTGCACGGTGGGTGGGGGCCCAAAATAACAATGAGGGGGGAGGACCTACTGTCCTCCCCCCTGGGCCCCACCCCTAAGCGGTGGGTGGGGGCCCTAAATGAAAATCCTCCCCCCCCCCCTTCCAAGGTGACTAGGGGTCCCTACCAGGGACGTTTTAGCCGCAAGGCAAACAAGGCATTTGCCTTGGGCGGCATTTTCCAGGGGGTGGCAAAAAAAGCTGTCCCCAAATGCCCAGGCAAATATCTTGTTAGCCTTGCGGCTAACTGACAAGCCGGGCAGGGGGCGCTGGCAAGGGAGCACTTTCCCCTGAGCTGTCTGCTCAGCTCCCTCGTGCTCAGCAGAGTTATGCTGGGAGCCGAAATATGACGTCATATTCCGGCTCCCGTCCTCACTCTGCAGCGGGCGAGGAAGCTGAGCAGAGCGCTCAGGGGCCTAAGGCAGCACAAAACCAGGATACACCACTGCCCCACACCCAAATAAAAGTTATCCCCTACCTACCCCCCTCACGCTAAAAATAGTGAGGGAGGAATAAAATAACTAACCTGTAAATTAAAATAAAACTTACCATTTGATGTCTTCTTTCTTCTAAAATCTTAATTTTTCTGCCCCCAAAAAAGCCAAATAAAAAAACATAATACCCGTCGAATTTAAAATAAAATAAAAAAATCAGAGCGCAAAAAAAATCTGCCGAAAAAGGAAAAAACCAGACGCAAAAATAAATAAATCAATTTTCACCCATGGAGGGCTCCACGCAGACTGAGCCCTCCAAAGAACTTTCCCACACTATGTAAAATGACACAGTTCGAGTCCCCATTCACTTCAATGGGGTTCGGGATCGGGGTCAAGTTCGGGTCAAATTCGAGTCCCGAACTCGAACTTTTTGCTGAAGTTCGGACGAACCCGGCAAACCCGCACATCCAGGTGTCCGCTCAACTCTAATTATGAAAGATAAATGCTGTATGTTGTCATAGATAAAATATGAAATAGTCACCAGTCTCCGGCACAGAAGATGGTTTGAATAGAGCTAAATGGCTGGTCCAACAATTCACGATGGATATAAGATGGTGACGCACCGCTCATTGTTTAGAGACACTCCCTGAAAAAGACATCTAGCTGAAACTTTGGAGTTACCAGTCTCCAGCCCACTAATATTTTTGCTAAATTGCTAAATATCTTGGATTACATGTTTCATACTACAAGTATTGTATCTATTTTATTGGCAATTTGAACACTTTCAATTCATTTGTGTACTATTTGTCTTTTTGCAGTTTTGTACTTTTGAGATATTGCTTGTAAATAAAGATTGACCTTTTATATTTAAGATGTGTTTGATTGATTGTCTATATGTTTCTGATTTCGTACATGTTTGATTACATAGACCTAGAAGGATTTAACATTTAATGTCCACTTAAAATATTTCATTCTGACACATGTTAAGTAGCCTAAGATGTGTTGATGCGACATTACATACATAGATGTTCTGTAGATACTGGGCTGTGCTGAAAATGGTTGGTGTACCAGAGTTTAAAAGATGTACAAGGTTTGCTAGAGAATTAGTGTATTTAATTTGAGATATGGCTTGACCTTCTCTCTAATGGTACCTGATACATTCTTTTGTATGGCCTATACCAGCTTGTTGTACCTAATGCTATTTGGTCAGAACCATCATTCCACGTCTCTGTCTAGTCTCTACAGGTCAGTGTGTCAAATTTACTTCTTGTAATTAATCTGCACCAGTATTTGTATTTTGAGCTTGCTCTTGTCTTCTCAAGAGTTGGTTCTGCCAACTGTCCCTTCCAAAACAGTTGGCCCAGTCATGTGTCCCAGACCCCATACAACATACAGAAAAAGCCAGCTAAGTGTTTTCCATAGACTTGCCTTGTTTTCGGTTCTTAGACATAATCACAGACCACTCTCTCTTCTTGTATCTCCACGTCTTCCCATTAAACTTTGACCTGCATTATCTTTCATAAGCTTAACTGCTCATAATGCAAAATGAAATGCCCAATCTTCTTCCTTTATGAGTACGAGGAAAAGTAATACATTCAAATCAAGTCATTTGAGAAGTAAAAATGTCATAAAAAGAGATATTGATTTATGTATTGTAAATTACAAAGATTTGAGCTCAGTTGACAAGTTTTGCAAGTAATTATCTATTTTCTTCAATTACTACAACATCTCCACTGGGGGAAGCATATTTTAGTTTTTTGTTAGATTTACTTAAACGCAAATTATTTTATGAAAAAGACGTCTTTCTCTTGTTTCATCCCCTCCAGGTATTGCACCAATTTGTGAAAAATTATATCCTTTAAGTAAATCACTCACACATAATTTTCCTCATAAACTACATTATGCTCACAGGCATTTTAGGACAGTACTATATGAAAGACTCCAAAATTATGTATTTTGTTTGCAACTGTTAAACATAAAAAAAGATGAAAATAATATCATATAACACTCAAATGTGATAACAACATGAATTGCTCTATTTGCTAAAAGCTTGAAATCTATTAAAAGGAAACTCTATGCATCTTTATGTTGATTGTGGCACTGTACATTCCCCCCCCTTTACGGTAAAAAAAGGATTTAACTTACCTGGAATCCTGTGTCAAACCCCACTATGCCTCAGTGAGATCATCAATATTGATAATCCCCCAGGCAATAGAAGCCTTGCGCAGCTCTGCAGCCGCAATCATTCTCTATGAAGAGCCTCTTATAGAGATAGATACCAGAAACTTTATATAAGTGTTGATTTCTCATGAAACCAGTTCATTTGTAAAGTGAGAAAGAGGGGACACAGCTACATGTGAAGTGCTTTAGGGTTTGGGGTGTCCCTTTAAAATAACTGATTTTGAGTTTCAATGTGTCCAAATATCAAATGTACAAATTCTAGTAAAATATTTGTAATTTACAGTAGTGATAAGAGACAATTGATCAGATGTCTCACAGGGTTATTAACAAAAGTGAAAATTCAAAGTGAATTCAAAATAAATTTCAAATTTAAATGGCCACTATTGTCACCAGAACAACTACAGCTTAATGTAGTTGTTCTGATGTCCATATCCTGTCCCTGCAGGTTTTTCATTGTAAGTAACACCTCTAGATGCAATCAGACAGCCACTAGAGGTGCTAGTCCAGTGCTGCACAGCATCTTCACGCATGAATGCGCTGCATGAATGTTTCCTATAGAAATGCCATGATTCAAGGAGATGCTGATTGGTGCAGTGCGTTGTTTTTCCGCACATGCCCAATTGCCCCCCAATGCTTTTCTATGGGAATGCATTGGATTGGCTGAGATCTTTAAAATTGATGATATCAGGAAAGGAGGTGGAGTCAGGCAGGGTCAGCCGCAACAAGACCGGCAACAGACGGGGGGTCGGTCACTTAAACAGCCACACAGGCACTACGTATAGTGTCAAGAATACATGGCTTTATTCCTGACACTATAAAGTTCCTTTAAGGCTAGCGTAGCCAAATTGAAAGCATTGCTGACTTAGAGCATTTTTCCAGTTTGGCTATTTGGATATTACATTTGAAATTCACTTTGAATTTTCACTATTGTGAACAACCCTTCAAATACCTTTACAAGGCAAAACTAGTTTAGAAAGTGTGGAGACATGACCAGGGAATTGTAAACTTCCACATTCTATCAAGGCATAAGGGAACAAAAAACGAAGTATTGTATTTAATTGTATGATCAGTACTGCAATTTGTACACATTTCCTTTGGAATTCTATGGAATTCTAAGTATTAGCAGCACCTGGAAACTCTTATTGACCAAAGTATTGTTCCAATAACAGTGTATCGAAAAGCAAATATGTCTTACATAACCTTTGTGACAAGTCTTTTCATGCTCCCATTCTGCTCTGGAACACTAGAATGCGATTTCTAAAAAGAAAAAATAGGTTTTACTTGCCAAGGGAGCGATAGAGAAAGATGCCAGATCTCTTCCTGCTACTTTAAGCCTTCCAGCTGTTCTAGAATCCGTTCTCCTGATCTAGAACTAGTTTATCAGGATAGATTGACTGCCTTTGTTTAATTGATAGCTATAAGAACACACAGCGCCATTTCATAAAAGCACTGTTCAGCAGAGAAGGTTTTATAAAAACAGTTCAGAATTAGATAGCTTGTCATAATGATATATAATGAAGAACATATCTATGCTGTTTCTTTCTGTTTCTGCTCACGTGACTTTACCATATTTGCAAATATACCATTACATCATTACAGTCATCAGAATCAGTGCACCATCCATCATCTAACAGAAGACCCACTCCACTGTCTGGAATCGTGCTCCTCACAGTCAGCCTCTCCCCTTCTGGTCTCAAATGGCATTTCATTATATGCAGAGCTGAATTACCCATAATGCGTCTCACAGACCCCAATGGCCTGGAGCTCCAGCTGTGACAGGGCCTTACTTGAGCTGACAGGGTAATCTGACTGTGCACCCACGCTATCCTCAGGGAGTGTGTGGACTTTAAAAAGCTCTCTCGTGGTCCTTGGCACTGCTAGCTAATTTCCAGGACTGTGAAGGTGATTTTAATGTGATGTGCACCTGATATTGCCCAGAATGATGCACACTGGACCATGGGGATTACACCCCCTCCTGCCAAAATATAAACATGAGGGGGACTAAAAGAAACACTTTCTCCCACACACACTGAGACACTACACACATACACACACATAGCATTTAGTCACACTCAGATTCCACTACACAAACACGCAAACACAAAACACTCCACACACAAAATTCATCTATCACACACACACAACACAGGCACAGAACAGAGCCCATGGCTCTACAAGGAAGCCCCAATCTGGCATCCTGCCTAAAGCCCTTGGCAACCTTAATCCGACTCTGATTATATACTTGAGCTCTAAATTTTCCCATATCCAGTAACCTGTTTTATTCCTGCTTATTACCCTGAATCATTGCATCTTTAGCCTGAGATTATAAAAAAAATCTAACTACAATATCCAGCCTAAGTGGATATCAGTCTGCCCCCATTTGTTGGACAAAGGACCTGTGGATTCAAACATTATTTTGTATGAAGATGGATGACTCTACAAAAAAAGGAGAAAACCCCAGATATCCCCAATATCTTCTTGAGTACTATCATTAGGAAAGTCTTGCCTTCTCCAGTTGATAAATGAAAGGGCTGGGAGCACAGATGTAGTGATTTTTACAGATTGCTGCTCTTATAAGAAACGATACATTGGGACACAGTTGTAACCTAACATACGCAAAGAGCATTGCTTCCACCTGACCATCATTCACCCCTTCTCCACTTTAATTCATAGACAATAGTTCCCTATTCTTCATGAAATCACCATTAATTATCTAATTCTCACCTGAAATAACCTTTTAATGATTTCTATCATATTCTTAATTATAAACTGCACATTGCCCCATTATATTGAATATTCATGTGAATTGAATGAAGACCTTTGTAGCAAAGAGCTATAAAAGTTATATGAAAGCCCACAGGGTGAGAGCTGATGTCTATATATATCTTGGCCTGTGACACAATTATGAGCTATATTTTGTAACACATTCTGCATAAGAACACTGTATGAGAACTGTATGATTTGTACACAGTATAATTTCCTCCAGTCATTTCATTACACAGTCACTCCCAGACATGTTTTTCCAATACATCCTCCTCAGCCATACATCTCCCCCAGCTGCTCTGGTCCCATTAAGACGCATAACCATTAAGAGATGGGGGCACTAGGCACCCAAAGCCTATTGTGCAGTACCAGGAGGGAATGTTTCTGCCACCCTACAAGTGCAAACAACCAAAATGAGGGGGACCAGGGCTGGCCTTAAGACATTAGGCACCCTGTGCAAAAAATCCCCCTGCCCCATCCTTCCCGGTCATACACCTTCATCCAAGTATGTGCGTGTGTGTATAGGTGTAGTGTTTGTATAGGGAATTTATTAAATTAATAGTGATTTAAAAATAAATATTAATTCCCTCTTTCTTGTTACTTTGCAGTGAGGGGGAAATGTAGGTGTTCCAATGTGCTGAGAATCTGGTCCGCCCCTTCACCGGGTACAGACTATGAGTAACTGTCTCATTAGCTCAGGCATTTGCACACACACACACAGTTACAGGCAGACAGTCACACACACACAATTACAGGCAGACTGTGTGCCTGTAACTGCGTGAAGACAGAGTGAAGCTAACAAGTGTTTTGCAACAAACCATACTGTCAAGTGTGACTACTCCTACTATGGATAGGGGGCGCCGGATTAGAGTTACTGACTTTTTACATAAAGTGAGTGAGGTTGATGACATGGAGGCTTACCTGACAACCTTTGAAAGGATTGCTACCCGAGAAGGATGGCCTCCAGGTCAGTGGGCAGGATTATTAGCCCCTTGCATCAGTGGAGAATCCCAAAAAGCATATGATGATTTGCCTCTCAGCCAAGCACAAGATTATGACAGATTGAAAGCAGAAATCCTAACACAGCTTGGAGTTACGCCTGCAGTGCGAGCCCAAAGATATAATGCATGGGTTTATGACACAGAGAGATCTACTAGGTCACAAATGACAGATTTAAAGCAGAAATCCTAACATGGCTTGGAGTTACGCCTGCAGTGCGAGCTCAAAGATATAATGCATGGGTTTATGACACAGAGAGATCTACTAGGTCTCAAATGTATGACCTCTTGAGACATGCCCAGAAGTGGCTACAACCAGAATTCAACTCTGCTGCAGTAATCATTGAAAAGGTGGTTATGGATCGCTTTCTAAGGAGTCTGCCGATAGCGCTACGGAAATGGGTCAGTCAAGCGGATCCAAAGGACCCAGAAGAAATTATGAACTTGACAGAGAGATACCGGTTTGCTAACGAAACTCAGAGTGCAAAGTAACAGGAAACCTGCAAAGAATTCTGTTACTTTGCAACACCAAATTGCAAAGTAACAGGAAACCTGCAAAGAATTCTGGAGGATTTAAAGAAACAGATGAAAAAAAAGATTCCGTACAGACCCATAGACAGACTGACTACATGGAAAATTGGGTGCCCAAGTTCCCAACCCGGCCACAAGGCCAGACTGAGAGACAGATAAAGTGTTATAGGTGTCAGGAGATTGGACATATTGCACGTAACTGTCCACAGACTGATCAACCTATGGAATGTAATTTGGGGAGGAGGGAGAAACATGGTGCATTGTTGGTATACACACAAATGTCGACTTTAACAAGTACTAGTGGTATTAACCATGTCAAATCTGTAAATATGGAGGGGAGGAGTGTGCAAGCACTCTTAGATTCTGGGAGTGAGGTTTCATTGGTAAAGAGATCTTTACTTCAGAGTGAGCAAGTAGATAAAATTCACGTGTTGGATATAATATGCATACATGGTGACACCCCTTCCTCACCCAAACATACTACAGTACCCACACGTACCCCACGGCCGAGGTGGAATTTGCTACCGCGGTAGGGGTGATAAAACATAGAGTTGGGGTGGTACCATCATTGCCTTATGATGCTGTATTGGGGCGTGATTTTCACCTCTTTCGTAAAATTTGGGAAGATACTGCAATAAAACAGGATAAGTGTACAGAGGTAGAGGCAGAAACAATGGGTTTAGAGAATGTTTACCTTTTTCTACAATTGATTTGGAGCAGTATAGTGAAAATGAACCCACTGTAGTATGTTTGGGTGAGGAAGGGGAACACAACGAAAGTGATTCCTCCCAAGTAGAAAATCTAAGGGAAGAGGTGGAGTTCATTCATCTAGGTATTAGTTCAGGAAATTTTCGGGCTGCCCAATGGGAGGATCAAACCTTGGTAGCTGCTCGTAACAATGTTCAGGTAGTGGAAGGTACTCCTGTTAACCCGGAAACCCAATTGTCCCTTCCCTATTTTGCAGAAATAAATAATTTACTTTACCGAGTAGAGAGGAGGGGGGTTGAAGAGGTTGAGCAATTACTGGTACCTCAATCCCACAGGAACCTAGTTTTAAAACTAGCTCACAGCCATGCATTAAGGGGGGCATCTTGGGATTGAAAAAACCAGGGAGAGAGTACTAAGAAGATTTTACTGGCCAGGAATCTACTCTGCTATAGAGCGATTTTGCAAGTCATGCCCAGAATGCCAAAGAAAGGCTCCATTCCAAGATTTCCGTAATCCCCTCATTCCTCTTCCAATCATAGAAGTCCCATTAGAAAGAATTGCTATGGACCTGGTTGGTCCTTTACTTAAATCCGCTAGGGGGCACCAATATATATTGGTAGTACTAGATTATGCTACCCGCTATCCCTAAGCTATACCTTTAAGAAATACCTCAGCTAAAACCATTGCCAGAGAGTTAATGTTTATGTTCAGCCGGGTTGGAATACCTAGAGAAGTACTTACAGACCAAGGTACTCCTTTTATGTCACGAGTGATGAAAGAGCTATGTAACTTGTTGAAGATTAGACAATTGAAAACTTCAGTGTATCACCCACAAACTGATGGGTTAGTGGAAAGATTTAATAAAACCTTGAAAGCAATGCTCCGTAAGGTAATTGATAAAGATGGTAGGAATTGGGATCGGTTGCTCCCATATCTAATGTTTGCTATCAGAGAAGTCCCCCAAGCTTCCACAGGGTTCTCACCTTTTGAATTGTTATATGGCAGACATCCTAGAGATCTCCTTGATGTTGCGAAGGAAACATGGGAACAGGAACAAACGCCCCATAGGAGTGTTATTGAACATGATGCACAAATGCAGGATCGCATTGAGGCCATAATGCCAATTGTCAGGGAAAATATGGAGAGAGCACAGGAAGTCCAGAAAGCTAGTTATAACAGGAATGCTAGACTTAGGGTCTTTCAAAACTGAGACAAGGTTATGATACTAATCCCCACAGTAGAAGGTAAATTCCTTGCAAACTGGCATGGTCCATGTGAGATAATTGAACGAGTCAATGAGGTGAATTATAAGGTGAGACAACCTGGTAGAAGAAAGCCCGAACAAATACAGACAGAGAGGTCTTGATGGCCATGACAGACAAAGTTCCTCTGACCAAAGTAGACAAAGTACCAGAGGTTAACATTGCTGACACTCTAGCACCTCATCAGAAAAATGAGGTCCGAGAGTTTGTTGCTAGAAATCGGGATGTGTTTGCCCCAGTACCAGGAAAGACTAATGTTATTAAACATGACATAATTACGGAACCTGGAAAAAGGGTTAACTTAAAACCCTACCGAATCCCAGAGGCCAGAAAAGAAGCCATTAAAGCAGAGGTCCGAAAGAAGCCAGCTAGGGGTTATCGAGGAATCACAAAGTGAATAGAGTAATCCTATAGTGTTGGTACCCAAGCCAAATGGAGAAATCAGATTCTGTAATGATTTCAGAAAATTAAATGAGATATCAAAATTTGATGCTTATCCCATGCCTAGGGTTGATGACCTAATAGAGAGATTAGGACGATCCAGAATATCTGACTACATTAGATCTGACTAAAGGTTATTGGCAAGTTCCCTTAACAGAGCGGGCCAAAGAAAAAAACAGCTTTTTCCACACCAGAAGGTTTATTTCACTATAGAGTCTTACCTTTTGGGTTGCATGGTGACCTGCCACCTTCCAAAGAATGATGGATAGAATCCTTAGACCCCATAGTGAATATGCGGCTGCTTACCTTGACCAGTGTTTCCCAACCCAGTCCTCAAGGCACACCTACCAGTCCAGGATTTAGGGATTACCCAGTTGTGTCTAAGGTGTTTTTTTTCTTCTTTGTAAAAACACCTTAGACACAACTGGGTAATCCCTAAATCCTGGACTGGTAGGTGTGCCTTGAGGACTGGGTTGGGAAACACTGACCTTGACGATGTGGTTATACACAGCACAGATTGGGAAACACACCTTCCCCGAGTTCAGGGAGTAATAAAATCTATACGAGATGCAGGTCTAACTGCCAATCCATCCAAATGTACGATAGGTTTGGAAGAGGCTAAGTATTTGGGCTATACTATTGGGAGGGGCCTCCTGAAACCACAGAAAAGTAAGGTAGATGCTATTTGGGATTGGCCACGTCCTGTGACAAAGAAACAAGTCAGGGCATTTCTAGGCTTAGTGGGCTACTACCGTAGATTCATACCTAACTTTGCTACGATCGCAAACCCGTTGACAGAGCTAACTAAGGCAAAAGGCCCTGTTATGATAAAGTGGACTCCCGAGGCAGAGAAGGCATTTAGTACCCTGAAGGAGGTTTTGTGTGCTGACCCAATTTTGGTTGCCCCAGATTTTACGAAATAATTTTTGGTACAGACAGATGCGTCTGATGTGGGCCTAGGAGCGGTTCTTTCTCAAGTACACAGTGGAGAAGAACATCCCATTATGTACCTGAGCAAAAAGCTGAATCCCCATGAACAGAGATACTCGGTGGTTGAGAAAGAATGTTTGGCCATAAAGTGGGCCCTAGAAACACTTAAGTATTATCTATTGGGGAGAAGGTTCAAACTTGTCACAGATCATGCGCCCTTGATGTGGATGAGACAAAACAAGGAAACAAATGCCAGAGTAACTAGGTGGTTCCTTAGTCTTCAGCCATATAACTTCTCTATAGAGCATAGAGCTGGTAAAGACCAGGGGAATGCAGATGGTTTATCCAGAGTCCATTGTTTGTGGTCAAAGGTCGCTAACAAACGGATGCAACAAACGGATTGCTGCATGGATTTTTGTGCACGATGTAAATAAACCACACCATTTTTGCATAAGAGACTGTTGTTCTGTACCTGTTACCCTAGAGGACTGTGTTGCTTTGCCCTTAAAGGTCACAATATATACACATATACATATATACATACACTGTCTAAGTGTATTTTAATATTAATATATATAATGGTCATTACCTTACTTATAGATAGTGCAAATCAGCTGGTTTCCGAAACACACCAATCAAGTCACTAAACCTCTCCTCACCTGAAATCCTCTGTTAACATACTGCATCCTTACAATGGTTTAAACACTCATTGATATATATTTGTGTGTGTGTGTGTGTGTGTATATGTATGTATGTGATTTGTATATGTGTGTGTGTATATATATATATATATATATATATATGATCTACATATCTATATAATACACATTTTCTCTAATGTTCTCACTTCTATTTTTCACTTTAACACTAACTTCTCTCATTACTAAAATATCACTATCCTTTCGCTCACCTATCCCTGGCAACACCATCATCATTACTTCCACCTTACTCCCCTGCCCTCTCTATTCATCCCATGCACTCTACACATACCTTTCCAGCCTATCTGCACCAACTCCTCCCAAATCCTCTACATACATACCCTCCTACAAATCTTTCAAATCCTACTCCCACCTTCACTTCCTTTCTATCCTTCTGCTCCTAGCAGTTGGTGATGTCTCTCCAAACCCCGGTCCCATCTCGGCAAACTCACAACATACTAACCCAAGGATCCACACTAATCTCATACCCATCTCATGTTCCTCTAAATCCTCCTTCAATACTGCCCTTTGGAACACACGCTCTGTTTGCAATATTACTAAATCCACTGCTGTCCATGACTTCTTCATCTCTTGTTCAATAGATTTACTAGCCTTAACAGAAACCTGGCTCTCCCCCTCTGACACTGCTACCCCTGCATTTTGTCCTTCGGTGGTCCTCAACTTACCCACAACCCAAGAAACTCTGAGTGTAAAGGTGGTGGTGTAGCATTTCTCCTCTCCCATCACTGCTCCTTTAAACCTCTACCCCCCCCCTTCCCTCTCTTTCCCATCATTTGAAATACATTCAATTCGCCTTTTCAACCCCTTCTCTGCTAACATTGCTGTTATTTATCGTCCCCCTGGTTCCCCTCTTCTCTTCCTTGACCACTTTGCTGCCTGGATACCCTAGTTCCTCTCTTCTAACATTCCATCCCTAATTCTCGTGGACTTCAATATTCCTATTAACCCACCTTTGACCTCTGCAGCCTCTAAACTACTTTCAATTACTTCCTCCCTCGGGCTTTCACAGTGGGCTAATTCTCCCACCCATGTAGCTGGCAAAACCCTTGACCTAATGTTCACTTATGCATGTACAGTATCTAATATCTGCAACACTCCATTTCCTCTCTCTGATCACCACCTCTTATCATTTGCTCTCGTGGACCCCCTCACCCAACAACCTCAGCCTAACACCCCTCAACTCAGGAGGGACCTCCAAACAAGCACCTCAAGGAGGACCCGCCCCCAACCATGGCATACTAAATCAACACACTACCTGCAAAGATGCTCCCGTTGTGCTGAACGCTCCTGGAGGAAGTCTCGCACCCAGTCAGACTTTCTCCATTATAGATTCATATTGTGTTCATACAGCGCAGACCTTGCCCTTGCCAAACAGTCCTACTTTTCCTCTCTCATTAGTTCATGCTTACGCAATCCCAGGCGTCTCTTTGACACCTTTAATTCTCTTCTTCGCCCTGCTGTGGCTCTAAACTAACCTTACTGCTGATAACTTTGGATGTTACTTTACTGACAAGATTGAACAGCTAAGGAAAGAAATCTCCCCTCCTTGCCATTCTGTTTCTCAACCACACATAGATCATGCCTTTCCTACCCTTCAGACATTCTGGCTACTGACCAAGAGGTGGCTGCTCTTCTCTGTTCCTCTTGCCCCACCACTTGCCCACTCGATCCTATCCAATCTCACCTTATTAGATCTCTCGCCACTTGTCTCGTGCCTTCTTCAACAAACATCTTCAACTGCTCTCTCTCTTCTGGCATTGTCCCTGCTGACCTTAAACATGCCACTGTAGTACCTATACTAAAAAAAATATCCCTCGACCCGTCCACTCCCTTATCCCTCGTCCCATATCCCTGCTCTCTTTTTCCTCAAAGCTTCTGGAAAGACTTGTCTTTACCCGTGTGTCTCATTTCCCCAATTCCAACCCTCTCCTTGACCCTCTTCAATCTGGCTTCCGCCATCTCCACGCTACTGAGACTGCGCTTATCAAAGTTACTAACGACCTAATCGCAGCTAAATCCAAAGGCCACTACTCCATTCTAATTCTTCTTGACCTCTCAGCGGCCTTTGACACCGTTGATCATGCTCTCCTTCTTCAAACTCTTCAATCACTTGGTCTCTGTGACTCTGTCCTCTTGTGGTTTTCCTCTTATCTCTCCCAATGCTCATTCAGTGTCTCTTTTTCTAATGATACCTCCTCCCCTCGTCCTGTCTCGGTTGGAGTCCCCCAAGGCTCTGTCCTTGGTCCCCTTCTATTTTCTCTTTATACTGCCTCTCTTGGCAAACTTATTTTACTTCTTACTTCTTTTGGATTCCACTACCACCTGTACGCTGATGACACCCAGTTATATCTCTCCTCCCCGGACCTCTCCCCTGCCATCCTGCAATGTGTCAATGCTTGCCTTTCTTCACATCCAGCTGTTGTCAAATCCTGTAGATTCCATCTTAAAAACATAGCCCGCATCTGCCCCTTTCTTGCACCAGATACTAACAAGGAGCTTGTCCATGTTCTAGTAATTTCCCGCATGGATTATTGTAACCCTCTCTTGATTGGTCTTCCCAAATGCCATACTGCACCGCTACAGTCCATAATGAACGCTGCTGCCAGACTGATTTTCCTCTTTAGTCGTTTCTCGCACACCTCATTCTCTGCCAGTCCTTACATTGGCTTCCTGTATGCTATAGGAGTCAATTCAAGGTACTAATTCACACCTATAAAGCACTGAACAACTCTAGCACCTCTTATATCTCCTCATAGATCTATAGGTATGTCCCTTCTCAGTCTCTCCGCTCTGCCCGTGACCACCTCTTGTCCGTTGTCCACACCCATACGGCCAACTCACGCTTGCAGGACTTCTCGCGGGCGGCTCCCTTCCTATGGAATAGCCTGCCTACCGCCATCTCTTGCTCTCTCCTAAACCTTATTTGACTGCAAATTCCTGTCCTAATGTGTTTTACACCCCACCTCCTATAGAATGTAAGCTCGATTGAGCAGGGTCCTCTTCAACCTATTGTTCCCGTAAGCATAGGTGTGTGCAGCCTATTGTATAAGGGTGTGCACCCTAAAGCACAAACACACACGCTGCGTATATATACACACACACACACATATACTGCTGTGTGTGTGTGTGTGTGTGTGTGAAGGCGCTGTGTATGTAAGGGTGCTGTGTATGTAAGGTCGCTTTGTGTGTGTGAGGGTGCTGTTAGTGTGTGTGAGGGTGGTGTGTGTGTGTGTGTGTGTGAGGGTGCTATTAGTGTGTGTGTGTGAGGGTGCTATTAGTGTGTGTGTGTGTGTGTGTGTGTGTGTGTGGGTTCTATGTGTGTGAAGGTGCTGTTAGTGTGTGTGTGTGTGTGTGTGTAAGGGCAGTGTGTGCTGTATGTGTGTAGATGCTGTGTGTGGGGGTGCTGTATGTGGGTGCTGTATGTTTGGGTGATTGTGTGTATTGTGTGGGGGCCGTTTAGTAAATATCCCCCCTCCCTTCCTACCTTATGCCTGGGAGGGGGGATCCTTTCTGCTGCTTCCATCCCTGGTGGTCCAGTGGAGAGTGAACTCTAGCCTGCGGGGCTAGAGTTCACTCTCTCGAGATCTGAGCGTTGCCACAGCAATGCTCAGAATCCCGCGAGAGGAACCTGGCGGAGCTACTGGCAAGAGCTCCCCGGGTCCTCTCCTGCCTCCCTCCCTGCCTGTGGGTCGGTGAGGGGAGGCTTAGAGCAGAGCCGGCGCCGGCTCTGCATGAGCCGACAGGGGGGATCCTGAGATCTCCCCTGCCGGTTTCAATATACATAGGCGTGCCGCGGGGATTAGGGTGTGCCCAGGTACACCCTGCACACCCGTGCGCACGTCTATGCCCGTAGGTTTATTTGCAATTGTCCTATTTATAGTTAAATCCCCCTTTCCCGAGTAAAACAGTACCCCCCACGTACAGGTTTTATAGCATTTTTGAAAGTTACAGGGTCAAATATATGGGTCAAATATTTTTACATTGAAAATGGCCAGGTTGGTTACGTTGCCTTTGAGAGTGTATGGTAGCCCAGGAATGAGAATTACCCCCATGATGGCATACCATTTGCAAAAGAAGACAACCAAAGGTATTGCAAATGGGGTATGTCCAGTCTTTTTTAGTAACCACTTGGTCACAAACACTGGCCAAAATTAGCGTTCAATTTAGTTTTTTTACTTTTTTCACACACAAACAAATATGAATGCTTACTTTGGCCAGTGTTTTCGACTAAGTGGCTACTAAAAAAGACTGGACATACCCCATATTGAATACCCTGGGTTGTCTACTTTTAAAAAAATATGTACATGTGGGGTGTTATTCAGAGATTTATGACAGATAATAGTGTTACAATGTCACTATTGATACATTTTAAAAATGTATGTTTTGAAACCGCAATATCCTACTTGTACCTATAGCCCTATAACTTGCAAAAAAGAACATAAACACTGGGTATTTTTAAACTCAGGACAAAATTTTGAATCTATTTAGCAGTTTTTTTCATTCGCTTTTGTAGATGAGTAAAAGATTTTTCAAGTAAAAGTCAAAAAACATGTATTTTTAAAAAAAAAAATACAGCTGTCTGTATTCTATGTGTATCTCTATACTGTATTGGGAGGAGTAATATTCTGGAGAGGAAGTCTGGTGCCCCACTATTTTAAAACTTCATCAGCTACCACTGGATTAAATGTATAGATTTCTCTAGAATCAGAGATTAGAAAATGGCCCTTGCTCTCTCCTGTCAGTCAATTCAGTTTGGGACAATTGTTTCAGAGATAAGAAGACTGTGCTGTGCATGTCTGTTGTCAGGGAAACCATTTTATGTGTGTCTCTCAAGGTTGCCTTGAGCTTATGGGAAAGCAATGACTCCAAGAGGAAGGAGTGAGGATGGACAGGTTATTTGTGAGAGCAGCAGCAGCACACAGAGAAAAAGCCAGAATTATATATTGCAAGAGTTTTGGACAGGCAATCTGTAAATAGAAAAAGAGAGAGAGAGAACATATAAGTATTATTTAAATACCATAAACTGCCACATAAAGTGAAGGGAACTTTTAACCTCTTATAGGAGGCAAGAGGTATGCAGTAGAGGTGTGTCTTACAGAAGGTGTAACACCCAAATGATTAATACTCTCAGCAGGAGACAGGGGTAATGTAAATAAATTAAAATATGATCTTTCAATGGTATTAAGGGAAGAAACACTTCATTGTTCAACATAAGTCAAAAAAGGTGTTTAGAAAACTGCAAACCTATATCTGTCATGACAGGCTCACTATAATGAGGACAGATGAACTGGCCTCGGAGTAACTTTAATGGGATGAACTATTATAGGTCTACAAAGGAGTTTGTAAATAGGTGGGTTTTCAGGTGTTTGAGGAAAAACAAGTAGACTGAGAGTGTGTTTATATAAACAGAACCACGAAGGTAAAAAAGCATTTGAAAGAGGACAAAGACCCGACCATGTGCTAACCTGTTCATTAGCAGGAATACAGACAAACAAGAGGTCACCCATTGAGACTGGAAGAAAGGAGATTTCGCTTACAGGAGTGAAAAGGGTTAATTACAGTAAGAACAATAAAAATATTAAATTATCTGCCTAAAGAGGTTGTCTTATCAGATTCTATAGATAATTTTTTTTTTTAAAGGCTTGGATGCACTTTTGCGTAAACAGAATAGTCCAGGATATAATTAATATGTTTGTAAACAGGTTGTTGATCTAAGGAGAAATCTGATTGACATTATGGAGTCCAGAGGGAATTATTTCCCTTTTTGTGGCATAATTGGAAATGGTACAATTGATTATTTATTTACGTCTTTTTGATCAACAACATAAAAGAAGTGGCTTCAGGGTTGAACTTGATGGACTTCAGCCTTTTTTTTTCCAATCTAGACAACTTTGTAACATGTTGAGTATAGCATAAGGTTGAATGTCAAGGGTTTACATAATCACATTCCTACAAATGTTATTTTCACACGATGTGCTGACTTTTATTGTGTGTAAACAAGGGGGTTCACAGGTTTTGAAACTATTATCTGACATTGTGATGACACAACAACACATTAAACAATCACAATGTCACTATATGTTGCAACAAATTAAGCTGTATTAAAACTTCCAAGAATTAAAAGGACAAGTAAACAGGAACAGATCAGAAACTGTATCAGAAACTGTTTGTCTCAGCGTGTTACCTGCCGTGGCCAGTTTGGTGATCCATAAGGCATGCTAGATTAGGTGTCGGTAGTTTTCTTACTAACAGCATTTTTTCACATTATTGAAAGGAGAAGATCTCATTTTTGTACACTGGACAAATCATTAAAGGAACACTATTGCATTAGGAATCCAAAAATGTATTCCTAACGCTATAGAGCCCTAGTCACCATTTAGGTGACTAGGGCCCCGTTCCGCGGCAAATAAATGGTTAATTAACCATTTATTTGCTCACCTTAATCCAGTGCCGGGCTTCCTCGACACTGGCAACCTCTCCTCCTCTCCAAGTGGAGCCGAATGCCCATGCATGGCCAGAGGCGCGCGCGCATTCAAACCCGCCCATAGGAAAGCATTACTCAATGCTTTTCTATGGGGATCCTTTTTGACACTGGACTTAGTGAGGGCGTCCAGCGTCAAATAAGTGTGATTTATTCTGTGTAAATTGTGGAAGCGGCCTCTAGTGGCTGTCAGGGAGACAGCCACTAGACGCTGTATTAACCCTGCAGTATAAACATATCAGTTTCTCTGAAACTGCTATATTTTCAGCTGCAGTGTTAAAACTATGAGCTCATTGAGCTGACGTGGTCTGGGTGCCTATAGTGGTCCTTTAATGCCCTCTGTGATTGTTCAATGCTGATCTGCAATATAATCTAAATTCAGAAGTAACAGTAAAATGTCATCTTAGAGATGGAGTCACACTAAGAAGTTACAGAATTTCTTAAAAGATCACTGTAGCATTTGGAATACAAACTGCATTCTGAATGCTATTGCGTTCCTCCATTGAAATGAAGGTTAAATATGGAAACCTAGTTGGGCTCAGTTCTCACAGATGGAGCACCTTTGGTGGCTTTCATGAAGATAGCCACTAGAGGCGTATTTAATCCTACAATGTAAGCATTGCCACATATACCAAACTGCAATGCTTTATATGGCAGGTTTAAAGGACCACTATAGTGCCAGGAAAACATACTCGTTTCCTGGCACTATAGTGCCCTGAGGGTGCCCCCACCCTCAGGGACCCCCTCCCGCCCGGCTCTGGAAAGGGGAAAGGGTTAAAAACTTACCTTTTTCCAGCGCTGGGCGGGGAGCTCTCTGCCTCCTCTCCTCCTCCGTTCCTCCTTCTGGGCTGAATGCGCACGCGCGGCAAGAGCTGCGCGCGCATTCAGCCCGTCGCATAGGAAAGCATTTACAATGCTTTCCTATGGACGCTTGCGTGCTCTCACCGTGAAAATCACAGTGAGAAGCACGCAAGCGCCTCTAGTGGCTGTCAATGAGACAGCCACTAGAGGATTAGGGGAAGGCTTAACCCATTCATAAACATAGCAGTTTCTCTGAAACTGCTATGTTTATAAAAAAAATGGGTTAACCCTAGAAGGACCTGGCACCCAGACCACTTCATTAAGCTGAAGTGGTCTGGGTGCCTAGAGTGGTCCTTTAAACCAAAGGACCACTGCACCCAGACCACTTCAGATTGGAGGGGCGTGTTTGTATGTAGTGTTGGCTTTTGATTGAATGTAGTGTTGGCATTAGTTTGGAGGGGTGTGTTTGTATGTAGTGTTGGCTTTTGATTGCAGCAATGTGTTTGCATGTAGTGTTGGCATTTGATTGAATGTAGTGTTGGCATTAGTTTGGAGGGGTGTGTTTGTATGTAGTGTTGATGTTTGAATTTGAATGCTGGGATGTGTGCACACATACACATATGTGGCAACACACTAACACACAGATACACATACAAATACTCATACACATTGACACACAAACACACACACAGATACAAATATACACTGAGACACACACACAGATACCCACACTGACACACTCACACGCAGGTACACACTCAGGTAAACATACACTGACACAAAGAGATAAATAGATACAGATACACAAGTGACAATTTACATATTTTTAGCCACCCCCTGCTTTTATGTCTTTTGGATGCAGGAGGGAGACTTCCTTGGCGAGCTGAGGATGATGAGAGTCTGGTGCTGCTCTCCTTCCTCCACTTTCTGTGCCTCCTCCATCCTCTCAGCCTCCGCGTGGTCTGTAAGCTGGAAGGAAGTGACAGGAAATCACTTCCTCCCAGCACTGCTTGCCAACATTTAAGTGGACCTATTGCGTTGCTAAAGAGTTGCAGCACCCGACAGCACCCGACACTGCTACTGTACCAGATGTGCCGGGTAGTTCCGTCACTGGCCATACCATGTTGTATTAACCCCACACCTGCTGTATTAACTCAATTCCCCTCTCCTTGCAGTTTTAATCCTGCACCTAAATAATTCAATCCAAACCCAAAGCTTTAAACCTGCACCCCCTGCAACACCCCCACTGTCCTGTATTATTAATGTTAAATAATGGGCATTAAAGTGGCACTGCCACAAATGATGTAATTACAGGTTTAATTTCTCTCTCATTGTTACAGGCCTGACATGAATTAAGGGTATGTGCAGATATGAAGAATTGGTTGCCATAGTGATAAATGACAATACAAATCACCCCACTGGCAGCTATGCAGGAAGCGTCACCTTCGCCAAATAACTAGTGTTTCATCCCATAATGCTTTGCAAACAGCCAAGTGTAACAAACTGTGTGATGCCTTGTGCTTCATTTTGTAGATGCAGTTTTAATGACCTATACACTTTTATACTTTTTTCCCAATGTCCCTAAATCTCTAAACTGTATCAGTTCCACTGGGATAAAATCCTCATAAAGTGACGATTACTATGTAGCTATCTATTAATACCCCGTATCTGTTCTCTGAACTGGATTATCCTCTCTTACAGAGATTTTTATTCAAGACAATTAATAATGGCATTGCAAAAAAATAAAAAAGCAGGAAACTATAGCCAAGTTTGAGGAATATTCCAGTACAGCTATTTAAACCTGAATTTCCTGCCCCCATGTCAGTTCTGCACTACTCCCATTTTAGTGAATATCCCGGCTATGTTTCACAGAATCTGCTTTTTATATTAATTATGTCCCTCTAAAGTAAGTGGTGGAGGGGGGGCTATACTTTCATCCTGAAGGGTAGTTGCCTAGAAACCATTTTGCTTCCTTTTTTTGTGTCACATGACTAGAGTCTAGAATTATTCAGACCAAGAGAGAATATGAATGAGGCCAAACTTGAATCAGAGATTCATCATATGCATAACTTGGGTTATCAAAAGTAACGTCATGTTCATTTGTACAGTGCTATGTTAAAGGGGCCACTCTATGCACTGTAGTGGTTATTATTATTATTCTCGCCATTTATATAGCGCCAACAGATTCTGTAGCACTTTACAATATTATTAGAGGGGGTTTAACTATAAATAGGACAATTACAATAAAACTTACAGAAACGATAGGTTGAAGAGGACCCTGCTCAAACGGGCTTACAGTCTATAGGGTTCTGGTGCTAACAAGTCCCTGGCATACATTCAGCATCATTACCAATTTTGGGTTAAACAGCATTCAAGCAGAAATGAACATACCGGGCTTGGCACATCACTAGTCTGTGTATTTGAACAGCATTCATTGACATAGCATGTCAGCTGGTACTCAGCGCCAGTGAATGCCATCAAACATCACGCAGCCGCCACACATGCACAAACTCACAGCACAGGGCTCTAGGAGGAAGCACCAACTTGACACTCCGCCGCGGGTCCTGGGTGACCTTAAAAGCTCCAGCAGAGCAACAACTACTCAGGAATGACGTAAGGGTTCGCTACACGCAGCTGTGATGTATTTGGGGGTGACAGATTAAGAGACGTACTATCACATGTCCCAGATTTTATGTGCGTAAAGCAGGCTTCCCCCAAACTCCGACCCTCCAGATGTTGCTGAACTACAACTCCCATGATTCTATGAATGAAATAGGTAGGCTGAGAATCATGGGAGTTGTAGTTCAGCAACATCTGGTGGGCCGGAGTTTGGGGAAGCCTGGCGTAAAGTAATGATGCTTCTGCATAGAAAGGTAATAAGGAGCTACATGAATACTGCATCCAGTGTCACAGAGGTTAGTGGGGAGCAGGAAGCACATCCAATGCTGCATGATGATGTACCATGACAGTATTATCGGAGATTCCCAGGTCAGGGGTTCGTCAGCTTTACTCAGTTTAATCAGTGAAATGAGGAGAGTAGACAACCGATATAGAGAATGCATCCTGTTTGGCTATTATGACCTTAAAGTAACAAACCAGGCACCATAACAACTTCATTGAAATGACATTGTTATGGTGCCAGGATGTCTCCGGCATTCCCTTACCATTACCAATGATACCACCCTGGTTGCTAAGATAACAAATGACACTCGTTTTGAGACCGCAAATAAAGATCAGGCCCTGCAAATCTTCAAAATCCTCATTTAGAGAAATTCAGTTTTAGACCTGTGTCTGTTAGTGTTGTTAATAAACATCTTAATAATTTAAAAATGAAAAACCATTGTGGACCAGATCAAATCCCAGCAATGTTGCTGAAGCTCAGTCTGCCAGCAATTGCTAAACCTGTCACTACCCTTATTAATGAATCCCTGGTGTCAGGATACATACCCAAACTTTGAAAGACTGCAAAAGTTGTACCTATCCATAAAAGTGGTGACAGATACTTTGGTATCTAACTATTGTCCAATATCATTGCTCCTTGTATTGTAAAAAATCTTGGAAAAATGCGTCCATGCCCAACTATATGAATATTATCAATGATCAATTGACCTGACCCTTGATCAATCAGGCTTTCATCCAAATTACTCAACTTCAACTGCCCTCTTAAAAGTTTGCAATGACATCCAAATTGGCATGGAACAAGGAGACTTAACTGGAGCTATTTTCCTTGACTTTGCCAAGGCCTTTGACACAGTAGACCATGGCATTCTTTAGCAAAAACTTAACTCAGGCATTGGTAATCGTCCGCTAACCTGGTTTTGATTGTATGTTTCAGACCGATTGCAATATGTGACCATTTCTGATAGCGCTTCCCTCCCTCTTCTAGTCACGTGTAGTGTTCCCCAAGGCTCCATACTCGGCCCCCTGCTATTCACATTATTTATAAATGATCTGCATAATGTCTGCAAATCCTTAACTGTACACATGTATGCAGATGACACAGTAATCTACGCTAGTAAGCACAAGCTACCGCAGCTTGAGGCTGTGCTCCAAAACCAATTCACAGAGGTAGAAAAGTGGATAGCGGATAACAAACTCTCCCTAAACACTGACAAAACCGTTACAATGATCTTAGGAACTGTACCTAAATTATGTAAACTACAAAATCAACAACTGTGTATCAGAACAATTTCAAATTGCACACTGACAGCAGTCTGTTTCTTTAAATATCTAGGTATGTTGCTAGACCCCAATCTATCCTTTGGCCTTCACATCAAAAAAATCTCATCAAAACTTTACCCAAAACCTGGTGCCCTGTACAGAAACAAATCCTGCCTAAGCCCTACAGTAAGGAAACAGATGGTGCAACAGATGCTAATGCCAGTCATTAATTATGGGGATGTAGTGTATGCACGCGCACCACAAACCCACCTTAATAAACTTAATACGCTATATAATTCGCTCTGCCGCTTTGTACTAGAATGTAATTACTTTACCCACCATTGTGACATGCTAAAAAAACTAAACTGGCTGTTGCTGGAATCCAGATGCACCCTTCATCTTTCCAGCCTTGTGTTTAAGAGCTTTTCTGGGAAGCTCCCACCCTACCTGAATAGAATGCTCTCCCCGGCTGTACTCACCTCCTATAACCTCCAATCCAGTACTAGCACGATATTTAGCATTCCGCAATACAAAATTAAAGTGGCTCAATCCTCCTTTTCCTACAGAGCACTGTAATTATGGAAAAATCTCAGGGACACAGTCAAATCTTTATTCAACCTTAAATCTTTTAAGAGATCTACCTCTCAATAGACCTCAATACAGAATGCACCTGTCATGGTTGAATATATTACCTGTTATGTATTAAATTTATATATGTGCTTATATGTATAGTTTGTATATTGTATTTTTGTAATATTGCATCCTATTGTAACACTGCAATGTTTTGTGGACCCAGGGCATACTTGAAAACGAGAGAAATCTCAATGTATCCATCCTGATAAAATATAGATCAGTGATGGCTGGGGGGGATTAATATAGACTAGTGATGTCAGGGGGAGGGGGATTAATATAGACCAATGATGGATGTGGGGGGAATAATATAGACTAGTGATGGCTGTAGAGAGAGGAAGGGTATATAGACTAGTGATGATAGTTGAGATTATATACCAGTATTGGCTGTGATGTATAAACTTGGCATGAAGTCCAGCGAAGTGTTAGGGGTTAATATAGACCAGTATTGGCTGTAGAAGTTAATATAGACCAGTGATGACTGTGACAGGGGATTAATATAGACTTGTGATGGCTGTGGGGGGATTAATATAGACTAGTGATGTTGGTGGGGGGAGGGGGCAGGGATTAATATAGACCCGTAATGGCTAGGGGGATTAATATAGATGAGTGATGGCTGTGGGGGGATTGATATAGACCAGTGATGGCTGTGGCAGGGGATTAATATAGACCAATGATGGTTGTGGGGGGAGGGGGGAGGATAAATATAGACTAGTGATGGTTGGGGGATTAATATAGACCAGTGATGGCTGTGGGGGGGCGGGAGGATTAATATAGACTAGTGATGGCTGGGGGGATTAATATAGACTAGTGATGGCTGTGGGAGGGGATTTATATAGACCAATGATGGCTGGGGGGAATTAATTTAGACCAGTGATTGCTGTGCGGGGGATTGATATAGACCAGTGATGGCTGGGGGGGGAGGATTAATATAGACTAGTGATGTCAGGGGGGGGGGATTAATATAGACCAATGATGGATGTGGGGGGATTAATATAGACCAATGATGGATGTGGGGGGAATAATATAGACTAGTATTGGTTGTGGGGAATAATATAGACCAGTGATGGCTGGGGGAGGATTAATATAGACTAGTGATGGTTGGGGGATTAATATACACCAGTGATGGCTGTGGGGCGATTAATATAGACTTGTAAAGTCAGCGGCGGTGGGGGGATTAATACAGACCAGTGATGCTGTGGGTGGAGATTAATATAGACCAGTAATGGCTGGAGGGGGGGCTTAATACAGACCAGTGATGTGGTTGGGGGGGATTAATATAGACGAATAATGGCGGGGGGTTAGTTCAGACCAGTGATGTGTGTGTGTGTGGCCAGGGGGAGGATATCAATATAGACCAGTGATGGCTGGGGGATTAATATAGACCAGGGGTGGTTAGGGGGATTAATATAGACCAGGGGTGGTTAGGGGGATTAATATAGACCAGTGATGGCTGGGGGATTAATATAGACCAGGGGTGGTTAGGGGGATTAATATAGACCAGGGGTGGCTGGGGGATTAATATAGACCAGGGGTGGTTAGGGAGATCAATATAGACCAAAGATGGCTGGGGGATTAATATAGACCAGGGGTGGTTAGGGGGATTAATATAGACCAGGGGTGGTTAGGGGGATTAATATAGACCAGGGGTGGCTGGGGGATTAATATAGACCAGGGGTGGTTAGGGGGATTAATATAGACCAGGGGTGGCTGGGGGATTAATATAGACCAGGGTAGTTAGGGAGATCAGCCAGACCAAAGTGAGGGTGGCATAGACCAGGGGTGGCAGGAAGTTAGCCAGACAGTTGAGGATGGTGGGATGTGGATAAAATGGTGGATGGTGTATAGGCCAGGGTGGCACAGGGGTGTATGAGCCAGGGGTAGTTTAGGGGATTATATAGGCCAGGGGTGGTGGGGGATTATATAGACCAGGGGTGGTGGGAGATCAATATGGGGGTGGCTGGGATTAACCAGGGGTGCTTAGAGATTAGACCACAGACCAGGGGTGGCTGGGGGATTAATATAGACCAGGGGTGGTTAGGGAGATCAATATAGACCAAAGATGGCTGGGGGATTAATATAGACCAGGGGTGGTTAGGGGGATTAATATAGACCAGGGGTGGCTAGGCTTGGAATCCCAGAGGTTACTGCACATCATTTCCCATGATTCATAGTCATGGCTGTGCATCATGGGACATGAAGTTCTGAAACACCTGGAGTGCCAAGCCCAGGCATAGCTGGTATAAATAATGAGAATAATACTGTTAATAATAACTGACATTGTATCATTCTACGTGAAGAACTATTTGTCATTTAATGATGGAATTTTGATACAATGTTGCAAAGCAGGCTGGCGCAGCTGTGCGGTGGGCGGGGCCATCATGTGAGTGACTGTCCGGAGCCCCGCCCCTCGCAGCACAAGGCCACTCATGCAGGGTGAGCTCTGTGTGGAGCTCTGTGACTGCCTCCTGCATCCCTCCCTCTGCAAGCACAAGCAACATGGCGGATCACACAGGGCTCTAGCAACACTAATAGCTAAATACCCCTTCCCCAACTACTACCCCTACCTGGGCAAATGGCAGGAGCAGCCATGAAGCTGCAGTAGTTCCAGAACACTGAGGATCTCTCTGTGTGTTCCCCCACCCTGTGCCTGGATTCAAACTTCTCTGGGAATTAAGCCTTGGGATATTTTTTTTTTTTTTAATATTTTCTCTCTATATTTTTATACACCAGCCTGGAGGAAGAGAACCATTATTTCTCAGTATTCTCCCTGGATCCCAGCACTGGGAGCTACAGATCCCTGGATCCCAGCATTGGGAGGTACAGATCCCTGGATCCCAGCATTGGGAGCTACAGATCCCTGGATCCCAGCACTGGGAGCTACAGATCCCTGGATCCCACTGCACAGAGCTGCAAAACACTGGATCCCGCCCCAGGGGCTGTGGGTAAGGCTCTGCTTACAGTATCATTCCTTTTCTCTCCCTGTGTGCTCTGGTTTTCTCTGCTCTCCATCCATTCTGTGTTTAGTACATACCGCCGGGGTACCCTGTGATATGTGGGGTGCTAACTCCGCTATAGCCCCGGGGCAGCTCCATGTTACTGCTTACCTGCGGGTAACTTCCGATTTGGGTGTGGGAGGCTTTGCATCAGGGCAGATTCCTCCAGTACACACAATGATTACATTGATACATATGTGGGAATGTGTACAATAGCCATGCACTCTGTGTTCCATCTGTGTGTGGGTGTATAGATGTGTCTGTGTGAGTATACAGCAAAAAAATAACTTTGATTCAATAGGTCTATGTGCCAGTATGTGAATGTTAAAATGTGTATACTACTTCATCTTGCTGTGAATGCAGGTTTTGCTCTCTGTATAAAACATTCTAGCCTGTATAGTCCAAGGGTTATTGTGTGCTCACAGACCCCCAGAGCAGGAGAAGCTGCCCAGTGTGTGTGTGTGTGTGTGTGTGAGCTCTAACACAAGGTATATAACTGTGGTCTTCAGTGCACTTGTAGATATTGCCAAAAAAAATTAAAAAAATTCTCAAGTATTTTCCAGTTTTCAGGATGTGCTTCCCCCACCCTCCTTTTTATTTTCATTTTATTAACCTTTTTGGTGCTGCAAGGGTCTGTAACTTTCCCCATGGCAGAGCAAGCCTACTGGGGATGGGTTTATTAGAAAGCCTGTGTTTGTGATTAAAACCAAGCCCCATTCTATTATGTGTTATCCTGTGATGCAGTTTGGGGGATGCCTCACTTTGATCACATTGTTTATCTGCTCAAGTATAGTTGGTTGTATTGTCTCTTGTAGCTGTTTTGTTTAACCCATGCTTAGTGATAATGAGGACAGATCTGTGCCTTTAGTTTTCATTTGTTGACAAATTCCCCTCATTTTATTGTTGCAATAGGTTTGTATATGCAGATGACTTTGTTGCAAGCTAAGAACTTGTTGTCCCCACTGTGGATTTTTGTCGCTGTAAATAGGAATGTTTGTTGTGACATGTACATGGTACGTTATTATAAATATTGTGGTTGGGGTCTGTGGAAATGGAAATCTGTATTTGCACGCATTATTTCCAAGCAATCTGCGAGATATAGCTTAAAGCAATTGGAGTGCAAACTTTTTTAACTTTACATCCCAGTTCTGTTGAAGGTTCTTTTTGTTTTTTGACCTATTTCCCCCAGTCCTCATTTTACCTACTGATTTCTTCAGGCCTTGGTTTTCCTAAAACGCTATCATGCATTCACAGAATGTGTGTCTGTATATTAGGACAACTCATAATGTTTCGAAAGGTACCTACAAACATTCTGCTACAGCACAACCGCCAGGTTTCCAAATAAATGTTGAAGCTACCAGTGGGTCATTTAGATACAGACTCTGCTAAATGACATGGACCGTAGGCTGTTCGGAAGGTGGATGACATTAACGCCGTGTTACTTAGAAACAGCTTTTTGGAATCCATAATATAAAAACACTAACTGTGTAATTGTTCCACTGGGTTTCACATATGTCATTAAAACTAAACCCAATCTAAAGTCAACTTTGAGCTTCGGAGCGCTTTCCTTGGAAGCCATTGGAGTGTATTTTTTGGGGGGGATTTTGTTTCTTTAATCCAAAATTGACATATTTTAGGTTTTATAAGCACCTCTGTAAAATGTACCATATGTATCATAGTAACCTGATAACTGTGATTTATTTAATACGCCTATTTTTCATGCCGTATATTTTCACCTGAGAAACTCCTGAAATCTTTGTTTAAAATAGTTTTGAGACGCCTGACTTAAAAAAATAAAAAATTTTTTTTTTATATATTCTTTTTGTTTAAACCAGAACCTTTCCTGTTTTATACTTCCTATTCCTCCTAAAGAATTGTATCCTTGTCCCTTTAAATTCATACATTTTAATAATTGAAGGTATATATCTTAAGATACTTTCATATATTCATGATATTCTCTCTGATATTTCGATTTCTAGAATACTTGCTCATTTTCTCAGAATGGTCCCTTGGGACATGGCCACATCAGTTTGAAGGACAATAATGTATTGTGTTTATGTTCTCCAACAAAAAAAATATTGACACACAAACATCCTGATTCAGATAAACACTTGTTTGCTAATTTGCTGCTGCCCCTCTCCAGAAGAGAGATTTAAAATAATAGTTTCTCTTCCATCACACTATATAGAATGCAGCCTGAAACTTACATCTTTTAGTAGGTGTTAAGGGACTTTCCATGGAGAGCGATGATACATCTTAACTGAACTCACAGTCTGACCCGAGACAACTGCAGCACAATGACGATCCTAATTTTTATATTAATATGAATCTTATAAACATATTATTTTGTGTGTTGAGCAACTGGAATAGGGTACTATAAGCATTGAGCTTAAAGGGACACTATAGTCCTCATAACCACTGCAGCTTAATGTAGTGGTTTTGGTACCTACACACTGACCATGTAAACGTTGCCTTTCCTGAGAAATGGTAGTGTTTACATTGCTGCCTAGTAACACCTCTAGTGTGGCTGTCACTCGGACTGATTGAGATCATTAAGATTGATGGGGCAGCCACGGGAAGACCAGGGTGGCGAGGGAAGAAAGTTAGGTAAAACTTATCTTTTTTACTTCACACTGGGAGATATCAGGGTGGACACCTAAACAGCAGGTCTCTATAGCATTAAAAAATACATGTTTGTATTCCTAACGCTTTAGTATGCTTTTTTAACCTCTTAAGGACTTCTGGAATAAAAGGGAATCATGACATGTCACACATGTCATGTGTCCTTAAGGGGTTAAAGGAGCATACTAAGCACCATAACAACTTCAGTCTGATGTTAAAGAAACACAAACGTATTCCTCACCCTATATTGTTAAAACCACCATCTAGCCCCTTAAATATAGCAAAATATTACTTTTATTGAAGTGGGCTGCTTAAGGCTCTGGCCATGATCTGCCTGCTTGGCTGACGTCATTAGAAGTGATTCTCTGAGCCAATCACAATGCTTCCCGATAGGATTGACCTGAAACTATCAAGGAGGCAGATCAGGGACAGTGCCAGCACAAGTCTAACACAGCCCTGGCCAATCAGCATTTCATCACAGAAATCCATTGAATCAATGCATCTCTATGAGAAATGTTCAGTGTCTCCATGCAGAGGGTGGAAACACTGGGTGCAGCACTGCCCCAGGAAGCACCTCTAGCAGATATGAGGAGTGGCCAGTGAAGTTATCCCTAGGCTCTAATGTAAACACTGTATTTCCTTTGAAAAGACAGTTTTTAAAGCAAAAAACCTGAAGATAATGATTACACTCACCAGAACAAATAGTTGTTCTGGTGACTATAGTGTTCCTTTAATGTTACAGGAATGCCCCAGAGCTGACCCAGTGTAACTTGTCAAGCCATAAATAGAATATTTTGACAACTTACCTGGGTCCTGCCAGGCACCTGCAGTAACATAACCTCCAGGAGATTCTGGTCTGCTTTCGTAGCCAAGCAGGGCCACTCTCATTGGCTGTGCTCAGCTGCAGAGAGACCAATGGCTTCTCCTGCTGGGGAAGACTGGATGTGGCATAGGTTTGACAAATTACTCTTGTATGGCGCCAAAGAACTACTGGCACTATAACTACTGCAAATGACATCCAAATCCAGTCTATGTACAGTTATTGAACACATTACTATGAAGTGTAAATGTAAACATTGTTTAATCTCTCCTTCTCTGTATCTTTTCTGTATACTGACTGCAAGGTGCAAATAGGAGAATGTATAACTGTGATTGATGGGGAGTTAAGATGGAGGCGCTCGTTTGGAGGATAAAGACATGTGGATTTCTACATTTACATTTTTATTTTTACACACCTTTTTTAAATCTAGGGATAAGAAAACAAAATATTTAAAGTCTTGGGTAGTGACTCTCTTCTACATTAAATACCATTTGGTGCTAATCCTTCATACTGGCTATTATGCGTTACTGGACTTTAGGTCGAGCTACACCAGCAGAGTCCGTTTGTTTCTAATAGAGGAAAGGACTTTCCCCTTCATGCCCCCAAACTTGATTGTCATGCCTTACACGTGACCTTAGGGAGAGTGTTACAAATAGTTTGCCTTGCATAGCACAATAGTGTGAAAATAGACATTATTTTACAGCATTAGATGCTTGGACATCAGTAAGAAATCTATAACTTGGACTTTTCAATGGAACATCAGAACATTATAATCAGAACAGTAGGTTGGACAAAAGTATGGAAACCACGAGAGTGCATGCAGATGTGATCTGTGTATTCCCCCAAATGAAGCTGCAGGAGTAGATTTTAAATAGTTAAGGCCAAACGTGCTGTAACACTGTATGTTGTGAAGGTAACAAAAATAGCTGAGACTTTTTTTTTTTTATCTTTATATATCTTCATTCCTTTCTTTAACCGCCATGCTCTAGTGAAGTAGTTTAAGAAAATTAGGTTTTTGTTTGCAACTTTTCATACTTTTATCCTAATGTCCCACTTGTGTTATATGGATCTGGTCTGACTGTATATGAATAGGTATAGGATAAATAAAGTTCATACAACACTTGGTCAGACAGACCCTCACACAGCAGGAAGATGATCTTCTAAGCAGGGACCTCCTTTTGAGTCTTTGAGATCGTCTTTTCTATTCCATAAACCCCTGGACGTGTTTATGGGATGTGCAGTTTAGACTCCTGCAACTCTGCTCATCAGGTAGGATATTCACAGATTTGTGTGAGGCTGAATGCATCTATCTCCAGAGCTGGAGGGACAGCAGGAGAGAACTATATACATGCACAAAGCCTTACCTGAATGGCACCGGAGGAAGGGAAATGCTTTGGGTATGAGAGAGAGGGGGGGAGGGAGGAATTCTACAATATGTGAATTATGTAATAACTTGTGTTGTGGTGCGTATGGTGATATTTTAACAACTAGATTGTTGTCGTTGGGGTGCTGGATACTCAATTGTTTTTACATCTTGAAATTTTGTATTCATTCTGACACTTTGTGGGTTTTGCTGCTGAGTGCAATGGGGAAAACATGATAAATATAGATTAAGGCAAGTGGTAAGAGGGTAGTATAAGAAAAATAAAATTGAAAAACCAAAACAAGACAGACACTTTAATTTTTAATGCCTACGTTCTTCCTGTAACTCTGAAGAATACCTTTGCCATTTGGATT